AAGAGTGGTGTGCATGTGTGCATACCGGATTTGGCGGGGGCGGGGGGGGGGGGGGGCGGGGGGGGGGGGGGGGGGGGGGGGGGGGGGGGGGGGGGGGGGGGGGGGGTCCTGCTTTTCAGCCCTGAATAAAGAAGAAGGGAATCAATATAGTTTGATTTGTAGGGATCTTAACCAATTTCCTGTAAAGTTTTCCAAAATGTCTCTCTCACAAAGGACTAATAATGATGTACCAGCTCTAAGTCATACTGAAATCCTCCAAATGCCTCTTCTATATTATTCCTTCTCCTGTCACTATTAATCTCCCCCCAACCCTGTCCTCCCCAAATAAACCAGCATCTGGACAATCTTCTATAAAAAAGAGACTCCTTTACTCATAGTTCTAACTCAAAATGCAGATGGAGTTTCTTCGAGGTTTCCTAAAAAAAAAAAAAAAAAAAAGTCCCTGAGGACAAAGACCAAACACTAGAAAACCTCGACCCCAAAGGTCATTTTTCTCCCAAGTTATGGGCACTTGAATACAGATGAGAAGGAAAACCGTCGACAGGGCTGCTGCAGATCAGTGAGAAAAAAGACTACACCCCCGGAGCCTGACGGCCGGCCAGAGGGAACTCAGGGAGGCAGGGCAGGCAGCAGCCAGGACTTGGCTCCCCAGACAAGGAGAGATGGGCTGCCCTCTCCTTGGCCATCCGGATAGCCAAGGTTACTTCCTTCTCTCCACATGCTGTGGCCAATACCTCATTGTCCTCACTTACATTTGCTTTTGTTCCTTTCTGAATACTGAGGTGGTGAGAGGACTTGCCCCCAGGTTAAAGATGGACAATTAAAGATCCCACCAAAGCTTTCAGGCTGCTTCCTGGGCCTTAGGGTCACAACCACCATTATTCCATGCATATCCACACCAAAATGAGCAACATGAACTCCTGCTAGCCAGGACAAAGGAGTCCGGATTCTCCTAAACCAGATAAAAACCTACTTCCCTATCAGGAAACAATTCCTAAAGCAAGAAAGGAATTGTATTTCTCAAATTTAGAGTCTCTAAAGCAATTTAAACCACCTAAATTAACATTGAAGTGAAAAAATGTTTTCAAATGTAAAAGTCTCATATTCAGCCAATATCTGTCATGTTAATCTGAATCAAAATGTAAAACACAGAGTGTAAAAACCAGAAAGTGAAGCCTTTTATGGGCAAACAGACCACTCCAGTTTCACCCAGCTGAACAAAATACAAGAATAAACAGCAAAAATGATAATAAATGGGAAATACCAGATGTTTTACCATGTTTATAACCAATGCTGTTACTCACCCAAGTATAACAGAGTTTACACTTGTTAGTTTTCATCGTGCCATTCCTTTAGGACAGTCCCAATAAGCTGATTCAGGGACTTCTGAAGACCAGAGACAGATCAGAAAAATGAACCCCATGCCAAACATCTAGAGATCCTGGGCCCAAACTTGTTTCTGCCTCTTATACCCCAACGGGTAATGGCACATTCCCATAAGGATCAGAAATGTACAATGTAGAGGTCTTGAGTATTGAAAGCAACTGGGAGCTAGGCAGGAGACCCGGGATGGATCTGACTCATTCCTAAGCCCATGCAGGAGGCATGCAAACCGTGCCCAGAAAGCATCTCTGCCAAGTGGGTAGTCCATTCTGAGAGAGGACTAGGGAGGGTTGATTCAACTTGCAGCCCATCTTCTAGTCCTTTTCCTGTCTCTTATACGAGTTCATTTTCATTTTCATCCCAAATCTCAATCTTTCCTGTTTCCATTTAAATTCATTTTTCTTTTGGGGCGCCTGGGTGGCTCAGTTGGTTTAGCAACCAACTCTTGACTTCAGGTCAGGTTGTGATCTTGGAGTTTGTGGGATCGAGGCCTGCATTGCACTGGGTCAGTTCAGCACTGAGAGAGTGAAGCCTGCTTAGAATTCTCTCTCCCTTTCTCTCTGTCCCTCCCCAACACAGGCTTGTTCTCTCTCTCAAAATAAATGAATAAACATTAAAAAACAAACAACTACTTCCCATATGATGAATTTATTTAGTCTGGACAAGAAATCAGTCACCAAAACCATATTCAATTTCTTTTCTAAGTCCTACTTTTGTGCGCCTAATAACTTTATCCTGAGCTTTTCCAACTTCTCCACTTCCCCTGCTGACTGAAAGACCTAAATAGCACAGAGGCTCTAATGATGACCTCACTGGAAGGACTCTGTCCTACGTGGGACTGTCACTTTCTCCAGTGCATCTCCAAAAATTCCTCTTAATCCTGTCAGGATCCTGCTATCTGCAAACTTTATGGAAGGTTTTTTTTAAAAGAGAGAGAGAGGCTCTAAGCTGTCACAAACAACAAGTCTCAAATCACTTCTGCACTACCCATTCCTTTCCTGAGAATGGTCCAATAGGTAGTCCAACAGAGCTGCCTGGCCCCAAACTCACCTTCCTACCTGTTGATCACAGCATTGTGGAGGCTTAATGAAGTAGAGATGCATTACATTTATCACTTACCCCAGATCCACTCAAATCCATCACTATGTCACAGCAAGAAGTTAGATTGATCTGACAGGATTTGCTCTTCTTCGCAAACGCATGTAAGTTATTACTCAGTACCCTATGCTCTTCTAGCTGTTTGCTGATTGATTATCTGACGATCAGGTCAAGTATCTTCTCTGGAATCACAGTAAACTAACGGGTCTATAATTTCCAAGATCATTCGTATTCACCTTTTAAAGATAAGCAAGACAGCAAATGCTTCTTCCTGAGTTCTCTAAAGCAACAGCTAATGCTTTCTAATAATGAACCAGGGCAGCCAATTCTTTAAGTGCCCTTGGAATCACATCATCAGGATTCATTGATTCTGGAGATAATCTTTAATTAGGCCCAGATCCTGGTAAACGGCATGAAGTCCTACCTCAGCCTAGGTCAGGAAGGTTGTGGTGCCTAAGTCTGGGTGGGAAGTTGGTAATACGAGGGATTTAAACCTGTATTGCATTATATCTTCAGCATTGCAATAAATAAATAAATAGAACAATGCCCTTGAAAGAGAGATGAAAGGTGATACTGACAGACCAAACTCAGGCATGAATCAGGTTTTACCTTCAACAACACTGACAGGACCCTCTGTAGGACAAGTGAACAGAGCTACATAATTATCTGAGCTTATAATCTAACTGAAAAGTTCAGAAATAAATATACATAGGCATGTGCCAGAAAGCAGAATGTAGAAAAAGCCATAAAGGAGGTGCCAAGTGATCATGAGAGTTCAGAAAAGGGATGAATCATACACAAGAGGGATGTCTTCAATTTTAGACTCCTGTCCCACTAGGAGTAATTGGAATCTGCATCTAAGGGAAATTATAGGGTATGTCAGGATATGGATCCCTTATTCCTAACCTGAGAGAATCTATGTAACCCAAGTTCCCACCCCATCACCCAGGCACACTCACCACAGAATCTCCAATAGTTTTGGGAGAAAGAGGCTAAGAAAGTTACGGGTGGCTCGGGTAGCACCCAAACCATATTCCTTCCCTTTTATACAAAGTTCCTTCCCTCGGACATTCTCCTCATCCTGCTCCTGTCTTCCCAAGCCTCCACAGGCCTGATTCCAATACCCCCAAAGACAGACCACTGCTTGACAGGAGAATAGGAAAGACGAGAGAGAAAGGGGAAGGAAAAAAGGTGGTGGCATCTGCTTTATGGAAAATAATCTATTATTCTAAAGATAGAACCTCTTCATGGGAAAAAAAAAAAAAAAAACATGAGAAATGAACCCAATATCTTTGAATGGACCCCACTCTTTCAGCCTCCCAAGTCCCTGATGCTACAGTCCCCTTTTCCCCCCTCCACCCTACCACTGAAAGCTTTTCCCAGACTAACATGCCTAAGCATTCCAAAATTACTTACCTAATAGCCCAGCCCCACAGGGAAGAGTTACAGTCCTAGGGCCAGGCATACTAAAGGACCCCATACTACAATGAACTGCCACATCAGCTCCCAATCATTCCCCCCAAACAAACAGCAAGCACAGGTGCCTCTCTGCTGCTAAACCAAGCTTCCTAGTAGCACTTCCTTAAAAGTCTGTAAAAAGTCTCTGAACACAATTGATGACTAAGAAAAAAAAAGGAAGCTAAGAAATGTTCCTTTCTAACAGACCAACAGTTGTACTTCTTCAGGTTATCTAATGCTGCAAAACACATCATCTCCAAACTCAGTGGTTCAAAACATCACTAATCATTTCTTATCTCTCACAGTTTCTGCAAGCCAAGAATTCAGGAGTGGCTCAGCTAACCAACTTGGCCTGGGGTCTCTCCTGAGGCTGAAGTCAGATCTCCACTGGGGCTGGCAGACTCACTTTCAAGACGGCACCAAGACACACGAATGGCAAGCTAGTACTGGTTTTTAGCTAAGAACCTCAGTTCCTGTACACATGCGCCTCTCCATAGGCTGTTTGAGAGTCCTCAATGCATGGCAGCTGGTTTCCTCCAGAGCAAGCTATCCAAAAGAGCAAGGCGAGCTACAGTGCTTTTTATGGCTTGGCCTCAGAATCACACAATGTCTTTCCTCGATGTTCTATTGGTTACACAAGGCTAGCTCTGATTCAGTGTGGGAGAGAAACTACCAAGGGTATGAATATCAGGAGGCAAGGATCATCGGGTGCCATTTTAGAAGCTGACTACCACAGTATTCCTTAAAAGAACATGCAGCAATAGCAGGAGAAGGAAGGAGGGAAGGGAAAGGAGAGAGGAAGGATGGGACCGAAGGAAATATTTTGATTCCCAAAGGCTGAGACCAGAGAGAAACAATATGCCCAGTTCTCTCCAGAGACTTCTCAGGTCTACCTTACCTAGCACACCTGAACCAAGTCCGGCCTCCCACGCAGGACCTCCAGATGAGTAACTAAAAGTCAGGAGGACATGAGAAAGATCCTCTGGAACCCAGAAAGCAAGACTATCCTCCCTCCCTCCTTGCCCACCCCACCTTTTCTGAAGCAATGATGCAACAGTTACCTGAGGATGAATCTGTGGCTTGTCGCACGTGGCCTCAAAGTCCAGCACTAAAAAGTAGTGATACCTCTGGGGAGGGAAGGGCACCATTGCCGCCATGGATGCGCCAAAGCCGTGGGCCGCCAGTTTTCTGGTGGATATGGAGCAGAACTCCGGAACACCACAGGGAGAAAATAAGTGGGAGCCCAGCACTTTTCTTGCTCTTGAAAGTAAATATGAAGAAAATCGAGCTGCTCCAGTCTGTAAAGGTGCTAGCATTGAACATCCAGAAGCATCTAAAACTTAGGGGAGGAAAGTTTAAAAAAAAAAAAAGAAAGAAAGAAAGAAAAAGAAAAAAAAAAAAGAACAAAGAGCCTGGGTTACTCCCCTCCCACTGTGGCCCTGTCCCATCTGGTCTTCAGGAATAGTCACACAACACGAACCACTCCCCAGTGTTTCTTGGCCCCTTTTCTAAATCAGCAGTATTTATTACTGAAGTTCAAGACCCTAATACTGGCCGCTGCAGCATTATGACAGCTCTGAGTCTCCAAGATCCTTCTCAAAACAACCTGCAACGCTGGCCTTCATCTTTAAATGGAGCTCTAAAGTTCAAAAGAGAGAAGAGAGAAAAATTCTGTGGTCATTTCTCAGGTGGCAACAGTTAACATAGAGCTAAGGTTCCCAAAGTAACATGAGGTGACCCATCTGCACCATCAGTTTTGGGAGCTAAGGAGACTCAAACAGTGGAAAATGCCCAAGATTCTCTGCTCAGCTCCATTACAAACCATTTGCCCCTGGCCTTCCAGTATGTCTCTTACATCTCCACATACCCTCTTCCCTTCTCCCAAGGTGAAATGGAACATGGCCAATCACAGAGGAGCTTGGCGGTGACTCCCCAGCCCCCACACCAGTAAGTGGCACCCTGGGGGAATGAATAACGCCTGGAGAGCACACCTGGCAACAGCCTCAGGCCTTCCCATTTGCTGCCTTTAGACGTACTCACTACAAGAGGCTCTGAATGACTGTGGGATTTTTTTTTTTAAATAGGGAAGAAAAAGAGAAAACCCAGATGTGGCAGTAATGGGAGCATTGCTTTTTTAAAAAAAAAAAAAAGTCTAGTAAAGTTTTCTGAGTGAACATGTGCAAAAAAAAAAAAAAAATCCAAATCACTTTTCAAGTTTTCCCTTAAAATTTGCAGAATGTCTGTTCCTTAGAGGGTTAACTAAATATAAAAATCAAAGCCTAAGTTTTACTCACAAATAACTCAAGCTTCCTTTAAAAAAAAAAAAAAAGGAACATAGCGGAATTTTTGTGTTTTTTACCCCTCTTACACCCAACATTTAAATTCCCTCAACTTTAATCCTCAGAGTCAAACAAGAAATCTCACTGCTCAATGCAGAAATGGACATAGTGTATGCCTTCTGAAGCCCATTCTAATAGAGCCAAAAGCTTGCCTCTGAAACGCTACAAATGGGCACTGGCCCCCTCCTGCAGGGTTGAGTGGGTAGTAGTCTGTGAGGTCCAGAGCACACTCAGAAGCAATAAGGTCACTACTACCTGAGTGTACCTGGACAATGCCAAGTATCACTCCTCCTCCTGGCTCCGCCCTGACTCACTGAATGTCCTACAGTAACTTGCCTACATATTTATTACAAGACATGCTAGTGTGGGTCCTCAATTTCCCCGTCCATGTAGTGAGATTCCATGAGGATTCTCAGGAGCTAAGACTGAAAAGTATATTCAGTGGATCCTCCAGAGCACAGTGCTTGCTTTCACCATGCCTTTACAGCATTTCAAAAACACAGTTCAAACTCCTCAGCTCAGTGTAGACAAAGGCTAGTTTGGATCTCACTACAGAATCCCTTGGAAAGGGAAAGAGGCCAACATCCCTTTGAAAGCCAGAATCCAAAATAATTTTGCAACACCTACCCTGAACAGTACTGGGAGCCTTGCTGAGCTGGGAGACACCAGTCTGCTCAGATTATCCGTTAGTTTGGATCCAAAGTCCCTCAGGGCCTTAGAACTCTTCTCTAACCCCTTGAAGTCAGACTGGGGATAAGGACTTTCCAGAATCCTAATGTCTATCAATATGTATATATAGTGTATATAGCATATACAGTCAACCAGACGCCATTTGCCAAATACTATAGGCAATTAAGCATCGTGATTAAAGTAGGGCTTCCTGGTTTGAATCCTAGCTTAGCTACTTATTTGCCATGGAACTTTGGGCAACCTCTGTTCTTCAAACCCTCACCTGTAAAATGACAAATATAATAGCTCTTATTCCTTAAGTGAGAATGAAATGAAAGGACAGATATAACACACGAAGATCAATGTCTGGCACATAAGGGCTCAATAAGTATTAGTTTACTAGTACTACTACTAGTAAGTAGTTAGTTACCACTAGAGTTAGCACTCTATTGAGCTATGCTCACCTGGCCAAGCCCAGATCCCCATATTCGGGGCCTATAAATCCAATTAATGCATAAGGCAATCTCTGAGAGTAACATCAAAATCTCCTCCATGCCCAAGATACTCTAGACCTCCCATATAGCATACTCTATGTGCCCCATCCCCTTCCACGAACAACACATTGATGACCCAAAGCCTCTTGCCTGCAGGCCTTGCCTTCTCACCTGATTTCACCCATCAAAAAGTTTTTCTTGTAGGAAGTCTTGAGAATAGACAATAGGAGACCAGGCCTCCATATGTCAGTAATCACTGGATTCCATACTTCCCTTACTTCTAAAACTCAAGTCCAACTTGAGTCAAGAAACAAAGGGCAGCTCTTCCTCTTCCCTTCCTGAAAAATTCAATCTAATGGTTTTAGAGCCATTAGTTGTGGCAGAGGAAGATAGGTATCTACGAGTTGAAGTGGAGGAGCAGAAGAGTCTTGGGGTGAGGGTGTGAGTGGAGGGTATCAGAGCCCAAGCAGAGTAAGGAAGGCAAGTGTACAGAGGTAGGAACATGTGATGTAGCATGTCAGAGTCCATGCGGGGTGTGGAGGGCATGGCAGGGGGTGAGGAGACGGTGGCATGTCTGATGCAGAGAGTCATGGGCAGGGTAAAAGAGGCAGTCAAGAGGGAAAGAGCAATGGCCAACAATGGGAGATTGGTTACATTCAGAGGGATTGATCAAAGAAGGATGTATACTGAGGGTAATGAGAATCAGGTTTCTCATTGTTAGAGGATGTAATTTAACTAGGGAAAGAGGAAAAAAAAAATCCAAGGTATCAAACTGAAATTGAATGCAACAGTGTGAACTCGTGGTTTCAAACATATATAATACATAAAAATAAAGCTAAATGTAAATATGAGTATGAATATATAAATATATGCACACATATATTTTTTAGCTCCGTCTACTGAAGGGCCAGGGAGCAGCAACACTCCAGCAGCAATGAGCACACCTAGTGCCCAGTTACCTTCTAACAACATTCTTCAGTGGAAAAACAAGAGCTCTTTGGATAAATGGTTGACTCTGTGGCAGGGAAAGTACAAGATGTGTCTGGAACATCTTGTTTTAGGGCCAAAAAGCAAGGAAATGCTCAAAGCCTGATGGGAATTTATCAAAAGGATGCAGAAGCCGGCTTAAATGGGGCTCCCACTGGCAAATGAATAATGATATTAATAGATTATATTGCATTAAATTAAAAAGGAAACCATGAGTCTATAAAATACAACTTAATTAACAAATTTACTAATTAAAGTCTGATAAGGGATATTCACATAGTTTCAAACTATCTCCTCACAAAATGCTTATTAATCATAACAGGAAGTAAGGATACAATGGAGAAACCGGGCAGACATCACCTTAATCAAGTGACCAAAATGGACATTATCAAGAATAGGGTAAATGAAAACCATGTACCACAAGATAGGATGCAATGAGAAGAAAGCATCATTTCTGTGATATTCCTGACAAAGATGCATAATCTAAGTCTAATCATGAGAAAATATCCAACAAACCCTAATTGAGGGGCAGTCTACATAGTAACTAGCCTGTAATCTTCAAAAGTATCAAGGTCATGAATGTAAAGGAACTTTTACAGAGCAAAGTCTAAAGGAGATTAAGGGGACTTGGTAACTAAATGCAATACACATTCTGAACTGGATCATTTTGCTATAAAAGAACATTACTGGGACAATTGGCAAACTTGAGTGGGGTTTGACAATTATAAGGAGGTAAGGTGCCAATATTAATTTCCTGGTTTTGCTGGTTGTATTGTGATTAGGTAAGAAATGTCCTTGCACGTAGGAAATACACCCAAAGTATTCAGGGTGATGGGGCATTAAGTCAGCATTAACTGTCAAATAGTTCCACTATTTGTACTATAACTCCAACTTTTATGTAAATTTGGCCTATTTCAAACTTTTCATTTTATTTTATTTTTTTAATGTTTTATTTATTTCTAGAGAGAGAGAGACAGCGTGAGCAGGGGAGGGTCAGAGAGAGAGGGAGTGACAGACTCCGAAACAGGCTCCAGGCTCTGAGCCGGCAGTCAGCACAGAGCCCAACACGGGGCCCGAACCCACGAACCGCAAGATCATGACCTAAGTGAAAGTCGGACGCTTAACCGACTAAGCCACCCAGGCGCCCCTCTTTCAAACTTTTTAAAAAGGATTTTTTTAATCTATATGCTGCAATGTGGTTTATAAAGGGAGAGAGAGAACAGACAGTATGTGAGGGTGCAATCTCTCCACACTGCCCGTGGAGGGTAGGCTGTATGCTCTCCTTCAGCAGGGAGACTAGCAAAAGCCAGCCCTTAATGCATCAAGTCTCCAAGGCAAGAGCCCCCACTCAATGGTACCTCACCGGGCACTCCTGCCACCATTAGAGCCTCCTTAGGAAACACTCCTGCATGCCCTGCAGGGGCCTCCCACCTGCCTTGCACCCTGTGGCATCTTAGTGATTCCCCTTTCCTATTACTGTCTTTACACGTTAGTCACAAATTTGTAGACTATAAGCCTATATATAACTTGTATCATCAATTGGGACTTTGAGTATCTAGTCAAGGGGCAGAACTCAAAAGGACCAGTTTATGATTCTATGTATTTCATACCATCTTTCATCAGAGACCAAGATTTATACACATTTATTTTCAGACACCCTTTTTCCTCTCCTAGCAATAAAGGTAGCAAGTAGCCTATGGCAAGGAGGAAAAGAAATGATTCCTTCCTCAAAATAAAAGGACCAGCCCCCCAGTGGGGACAGGACAGTGGTAAACAGGGACTGCCATGGGGCCAGCCCGATTTGGAGAAACAGGCCTGCGCCACAGCCCCTGGAGGATGGTCTCTGTGCA